AAATACAGAGAAAACTAAGATCATGACAAGCAGTCCAAACCAACAACCAGTAATCATAAATAACCAAACTCTTGAAAATGTAGAACATTTCACATATCTTGGCAGTGTGGTGTCCCTGCCAGGAGGGACCGAAGAGGACATACAGTCACATCTGAACAAAGCTAGAGCTGCTTTTGGAAGGAGGCAAATCTGGAAATCCAACAATTACTGCAGAGGAACGAAACTCCGACTCTACAAGAGCATAATTTTGCCAGTTCTTCTTTATGGAGCGGAATGCTGGAGAACGACCCGAAAGGATGCACACAAGCTGTCTACCTTCCACCACACATGACTACGTAGAATTATCAAAATTTTGTGGCCAGATACAATCTCAAACACTAAACTACTTCAAGTCACAAACCCAGAAACTTTAGACAATATGAAAACCAAGAGAATATGGAAATGGCTTGGCCACGTTATGAGAATGAATCCTGATATAATTGCCAAAACAGCTCTCACATGGACACCAGAGGGAAAGAGAAAACAGGGGCGCCCAAAAACAACATGGAGAAGAACGATGGAAAGTGACCTGAGTGCGGCATCTTTGACATGGAAAACTGCACTGAAGACTGCACAGGACAGGAAAGCATGGAAAGTCCTCTCTGAAGCCTTATGTGCCACTAGGCACAACGAGAACTGATGATGATGATTGTTATGTGAATACCCTCCCGCACTTTTTTTTTTTTTGCACTACTTCCTATATCATAGATTCCGGAATAAATAGCACGGCAACTATATATATATATATATATATATATATATATATATATATATATATATATATATAGGGTGTGTGTGTGTCTGTGCGTGCGTGCGTGCGTGTGCGTGTGGGGGGGAGGTGGGGGGAGGGGCGCTCTACACCACTTTGTGGTGAATTGATGTATGGCAAGTTAGATATTGTGAGTACCCCTTGGGAGTGAATGAACACTGCGGGGACGCAGATATATCGTTACCGTCTAAGGAGAATGGCGCTGCGAGGAGTTACCTGAAGATCTGGCTGACGCTCAACACTCAGGGGAAGGATGAGACGGATATACAATCAGACCGTTACTGGTACCATCGGAATTGGTACTACTCTTCGCATGTTTCTGAAGATGGGGACTGAGCACTTATGAGATTGCCCCGAGTGCTGCATGTCGATTCTGAATTCATCATTCAACATTCAATACACACACACACACACACACACACACACACACCACACACACACACACACACACACGTGTGTGTGAACAGATACTATATTGATCGGCAATCATAGATATAAGTAGACAGATAGGACAAATTTGACAACATAAAAATCAAAAGCTATACTTGCTCACAGAAAGAAGTAGAAAGATAGAAGGACACACTAGACAAAATCAAAAGCTATACTTACTCACAGATAGAAGTAGAAAGATAGAAGGACACACTTGACAACAACAAAATTAAAAGCTATACTTACTCACAGATAGAAGTAGAAAGATAGAAGGACACAATAGACAACAAAATATCGAAAGCGACAGTTTCCTTTTTTTTTTTTTTTTTTATTAGACACAGTTAACCCATCGTTATCACGCCCTTGGTTATCAATGAATACCCTGCTGGTAGCTCGTGTGATCAGTGCAAGGATAACTACTTTCTAATATCACATTATCAGTGCTGTATGATAAAGCAAACCTATATAGGTAAGTGTACGAGATGCTGGGTCGTCCACGAAGTCATCTGAGTGTGATAGTGACAACAATTTCCTGGGACATTTACATAGGGACTATTGTGGACCTACAATCAGGTAAAGTTCACTGTTCTGTTCTGGCTTTAGCTTGTCGGTATCTTTGGCTTAGGGGTAATTAAATAAATGCAGCTTCGTAATTGCGCTATAGTGGGTTGGGTACAGTTGGAGACGATTTGACAGCAGACCGCTTTGTGTTAATATAGATAAAGGTATGAGTTTCGAAACGTTCTGGAAACAATGGCAATGGCATACTGCTCAACGTCAAAATTATTAGGGGAACCATAAAAGAACCAACAATCGCTATTTATATACAATAAAGAGTTTCTGATCGGCATTCATAGTAAGAAAAGAGAAAAGACAGGAGGACACAGCAGACAACATACAAATTGAATGCTATCGTTGACCATGCGGGCAATAGAACCTGCCACCTCAAAATAACGAAAACGGGTTGCTGCGGAATTACGTTTACTGAGAGACATGACACTTGTTTCCGAGGACCAAACTATACATTTCTATATGTTTATTATATATAATGATTCTACAGCCTCAAGGATTCCCTGTCTGTTTATCTCTGGGGAACACAAACAAAAGACAGGGCTGGTTTGCGAAGTCATGACAAGAGTAACCCAAGATCGTTGCAGGATATAACAACAGCAATATAAATATATACAACAATATATATATATGTGTGTGTGTGTGTGTGAGAGAGAGAGAGCGCGCGCGCGCACGAGAGAGAGAGAGAGAGAGAGAGAGAGAGAGAGAGAGAGAGAGAGAGAGAGAGAGAGAGAGAGAGAGAGAGAGAAAGGAATACGTGTGGTATTTGGGAACCCTCCAAAATGCAACATCACAGTAAATGGGACAAACCTTAAGCAAGTTAATATGTTTAAATACTAAGGTACCCTGCTAGCATGCAATGTAAGATGTATCAAAGAAGTTACATTTCGAATAGCTCTAACAGAGGCAGCATTTTATTTAAAAAAAAAAAATATTTGATGTGAATCATGCACACTTGGTAGATTAGTTAAAAAGCACATGGAAGCTGCGAAAATTTGGTTTTATAAACGGATGATGAGAATACCCCGGACAAATAAAAAGAGCAATGAAAACGTCTGGAAAGAAACTGACTCACAAAAAGAACTGATTGCCCACATCAGAAAGAGACCATCTACATTCTTTGCTCATGCAGTGAGAAGGAGAAAACTGGAGTAAAACAGTAGGAAAGTTTGAAAGGGGAGGGGGAGCAGATGGAGACCAAGAGAACAGACGCTGGACAGTTTGACAACATGGCATGGACGATCATTTGTGTCAGAGTTGATTGAAAGTACACGAGACAGAAGGTTGTGGATAGACATGACTACCAACTTCACAAGACAAAAACTTTACAAGAAGGAAACCTATGGCCATTAAAAGGAATAAACTTAACAAAGAACCCTTTTCCGCGCCTTCGGGCATATAAGGCTAGACCTATATTTTATAGAGCTTGGCATCCAGAATACGTTTGGTCATCATCATCATGTGCCCTGCCAACTGGCGTAGGCACTCATGCGTCTCCACAGATCACGATCCCTGGTTGCCTGGAACAGCTCTCTCTTGATGATATCCCTCTATTCCATCGTTTCAGATCCTCCAGCATCATCTCTCTTGGTCTGCCTCTACCTCTTTTCCCATTTATCTTTCCAGTTGTCACGATGCTCTCCAATGTCTTTCTTTTCATTATCTGGCCAAAGAACAGTGTTTTTCTCTTTCTTATTGTTGTATATAGAGATCTACTTTCATAAGCTTCTTTCAAGCAATCATTGTTAGTTACTCTGGCCGTATACGTAGGGTGCTACACCAAATATCCGACTCTCCATGCGATCTCCTATTTACCTTTGGCAATTCAGCTCCTCAGCCCATTAGTCTACCCCAGTGTGAGATTTTACTCTTTCAACTAGTATCAACCCCAAGCAGGCTTTACTTTAACTCGTGCTAACGACATAAACTATTAGTGTAGCTAATAAGTGATTATATCTGTTTAAAGGAGAAAGGGGGAGCCAGTAAGAGGCAGGGGACGTAAGATCACAAGTGAGATCGAGTGGATTGGTGTTTAAAAAAAACCCAGTACGGTGCACAAAGAGTTGAGAAAAGTACAGTGCAGACCTGATAATGAGAACTGACCCAAGAAATAGTTCTTCTTACTTTTTCTTAATGCATTTACAGTGTACAATAGTGACTCCGCGTTGAATACGACGTAAATGTAAAAGCAGAAAATAGTTCTTCTTACTTTTTCAAATCACAAAAAAGCGTTAAGTACAAAATTGTATACAGAAAATACGTAAATCTAGAGAATAGCAACATTTTTACAAACTTTAGAAATAGCAACATTTTTTACACTTTAAAAAAAAAACTTTCTTCTTTATTATAGTAACAGTAGTTGCGTCAATAAAAATGTCTTTCTATGACATCCTTTAGCTCAAAGAAATGGGAAAATAGATCATCTTGGCATCCGGCGCTCGTTATATACATGTTATGTTAAAAAACATAACATGTATATAACGAGCGCCGGATGCCAAGATGATTTATTTTGGAACTTCTAACTGTGAGATCATTTGTACCGTTAACCCACAGTCATCATTATTTCTAGAGTTTGTACACTGTTAAATGTTAAACCACTCTTAAATGAAAACATCTATAATTTTCCCTGTATCTTGGTACATGAGTTAATAAAATATATATCCGTTGCCTCTTTAAATCCAAAGAAATGAGAAAAGGCACCCAATAACTAAAAATAGTATAAAATTTTTACAAATGTCCAGGTATTCGAAATTTGTTTTGCCTTAAACAGGTCAAATTATATAGTCGGGACACTTTTAATCGTTTTGCATATCCGCTAGACCGGACAGTATTTTGCAAGAGACAAGGAATGCAAATTGCCGGCATAAACAAATTGTTCTTCGCAACATAAATTCGCCACAATCGTGATCTCCTTTGTGTGGTCTGCGCCGTACATTTAAAAAAAGAAACCAATAAATAAATAGAGAACTGTATTGTGCTCTGTAAGTTGGAATAATTTCAGTAACTGCTTTCATTTACCCATACCCTTAATATTACGTCCTGCTAAAAGTTGCGTTTTTGTTGTATGTTCCACAGACCTGTCACACTCAGACACTTCCAGCATCAGAACTAACTTGGCCTATACCAGGACACTATCCAGCATCGACATCCGTGACAAGCCGTACGAGCAAGATCCAACAAATCGAGGATCACAATGTCCAGTCCTGTACAGAGACCACCTGTAGCCGTGGATGTCATAGAATCAGAAGAGCTTGTCCAGTCTATCAGCCCAGTACTGCTGACACTGGATTACAATCATCTTCGCGTCAAATTTCTCGTCGCCGGAGGTTCCTTTGCATTCTTCTCATTGATCTTCACAGCCACGCTTTTTCTGTGTGGTTTGTTCCCTGTGTTCCGAAATCTTGGTTTGAAGTTTCAAGTATTTCTGAGTTTGTCAGTCGTACGTGGAATATACGGTGTCTTCGCTAGTATCGTTGGCTTGTATGGCATATTTTACACAACAAACCTGGACAGAGATGTTGTATTTGGAACCAGCGCAACTGCTCACATCGGCATGCTAATAACAATGGGGTTTTTTATATTTTGAACTGTCTGCAGTGATCGTGTCCGATATTGCCTTCAAGACATTCTCTAAAATGTTGATTATTCATCACGCAATCGGAGTATTCTCATACACTATTTCCGTCGGTTTGTCTGCTAATTTCAGCATTGGGTGTAAAGTGTTGATTTTAGAAATGAGCACCCCATTCTCATGCCTCAGTTATCTTCTGCTCAAAGTAGGTATGGAACGTTCTGTTTGGTGGCGACTGAATCAAATGTTCCTCGTTCACACGTTCCATCTCCGCAGTGTAGTCGAGTGCTATCTATGGTACTTCACGCTCAAGCACTGGCAGTACATCTGGAACTTTCTACCCACAAGTCTGTTGATCCTCACATACACCGGGCTAGTCCTGGTCACCTTCGTCATGACGCCATACTGGGGTTACAAGAAAACACAGCAGCTCTTCAACCCTGTTGATTGGAACTTTGAAGATTCGAACAAGCATGGCTCACGACAGAGCACTGTCGTTGTTAATGGTGCTGTAAAGAATATTAGCGTTGCTAATGGTGTTGCGAATAATGCTGGCGTTGCCAATGGTGTGACGAAAAAGACAATATAGACTTTCAAATTACCATTTTTTGAAACTGTTTCCTGCGGGAACTTCAAAGGACAAAGCAAAGTGCCGGACACACCCTACACAACAACTCAAGGGCAAACTTCTGGCAAAGAGAAACACCGGCGCAAACCAAACTTTACGGGTCGCTGAGTGAATTACAACAGACAGTGATGTTCATACTAGAGACAACATTGAAGATATAGATAATATTTTTCAAGTGAATGGAAGAAGAAAAAGAAGAAAACCACTCACAGGATTATCATGTATATTATCGATAAGATAAACTGTCAAAAGATGTGTTGAAGTTTAATAACATGATGGTGCAAAGATTACCCAAAAGAAACTTTTGGACAATGTAACGCGAGTCCTGAACATTAAAAAGGAAATTACAAATAAGTTCAAATTCTATTCTGTGCATACATAAATTATTGTAGATCCCCTATGTTCTTGGGACATATACAAATGCTTACAGTGTATATGACTTGAGAAGGCCATGGGTAAAGAAATACTATTGATGCTTGTTTACTTGTTTGCAAATACATCACAACTTTTATACAGACTGAGGGATGGTATACTTCCTTGAACACTTTATACCGCAGAATAATCATATGAAAGTTAACCTAATTTCAGAATCAAAACAAGGCATTATCTGTTTCATCATTTTAGGGGTCGAACGACCCTTTTCCAGGAGTTGCCGGAGACCAACGGAAAACACAGGTTCACCGAAGTTGGGAAGTAGCAACGAAGATAATGTTATGGTTGGGTGTCACAACAACACGGTGTAACTGTACCAAAGGGTAGCGGCATTAGGAAGGTTGAGAACCAATGTTCCAGAGGGGGGAAAGGAGGGTTTGGGGAGGAGGGGGTCAATCATGGCCTGTGTTTTATTACAAACGTTTCAAGTGGAGACATCACTCTCGGCTACGACAATCAGCATACCTGGGCATGTTATCACAGCGAATGACTTCCACTACAATATCATATGCCTGACAGCCTCTTCTTTTGGAGTCTGCAATGTCTGTGACCTCGACCCTTGCTTCTTGAACTTGGCTGGTTCGTGAACTGTTATGCGGCTTTGTACTTCGGTCAATATCGCTTGGAAAATTCCTTCTGGGTCTGGTTCACTACAGGTTGCCATCTAATCCTCCACTGTAACAAAAACTTCAAAATCTATCTCTTCCAGTTATGTCACTAGCGATGGGCTGTCAGAGGGAGCTAAAACGTTGTAATGGCAGACAAATGCAGCTTTTTTGAAACACTTCTGTACTATTTCCGGTTCCACTTTTTTTCCAAGCAGAACTGATTAGAGGACATCACCCAAAGCGGTAATTGACACAGCTGGTGAAGCTGCTTCTACAGGCGGACCATACATTTGTCTTTTAGTAATGACCAACCGCCCAGTAGTGAATTTTACATGTTTTGATGATGCCTTGGTTGAGAGGTTTGGTTTTTGAGGTGGTGTTTTGTAGCAGAAATGTATGTGTCACGTTGGTGAGGTTATTCACTTGTCAGTGGTCAAGTTGGTTGTCTTTTACTGTAAGTAAAATATACCGCTTCTTCTTCTTCGTCATCATGTCTCGGTCGATGTCTCCTATCCACTTGTCAAACAGAGCACTAGTCCCCCATGCGGATTTGTTTAGCTCCAAGTAATGGGGAGGTCTTCGTGCAACAGGTTCTTGAATGCTCATGGCTTATCTGATTTATCAGTCTCCGAGGGCTTTCAGTTACCCCCCCCCCCTTTCCACCCGCCCCCCCCCGGCGTAGCTAGGGCAAACTATCAATGTGAAAAGTTCTTTCGACAGTAATTTTCAATCTCCCCACTGCGCCCCCCCCCCCCGCCCTTTTTCTTTAAGATCATTATCTCTCGATTAACTGGTGGTAACAATAAAAGGTAATAGTAATACTACTAGTATTGTCTTTAAGTAACATTTCTAGAGAGAGAGAGAGAGAGAGAGAAACGCACGCACGCACGCACATACATACACACACACACATACAAATACTCCTTCTGCCAACTCTTAAAGCGAACTCTGACTGACCTCAGTACTTTTCTCGGTACTTTGCGACCAAAAGAAGTATGCCTAACCACTGAGCTTTTTAATTGTAGCAAAGTATACATACACGCCCCTGGTTAAGATATAGAAGGTGAATTATTATTGTATGGTTTAGTCCATGTGGTCAGGATACAACTTACAGAAGGGGTCAACGTTTAAAGGTACACTTCCATCGACAAGGATTATGTGATGACCACCCGGTCAATAAAAATGAGGTCAGCGTCAGGCAGAAGAAAAGAAGTGTGTCAGAAATTAGGAGCAGGATGTACCGGGCTAAGGCTGCATTTCACAAAATGTAGAACCTATACTGCTGTATGGTAGTGAATCATGGAATGTAAATGCACAGATTAGAAAGAACTTGGAGGCAACGGATGAGGTTCCTCGGACGAATGCCGAGAATCCCTTGAACTGCCAGAGTAACTAGCATGGATTGCTTAAAGCTAATAAAAGCAGATCAATATATACAACTATTGGGAAAAGACAAGCATTGTTCTTTCGTCATATGGTTTGGGGGGAAAGGGGGTAAGGGGGGGGAGGCTTTTGAGAACATTTTGACGACTGGCAAGATCAACGGTAGAAGAGGCAGAGGCCGACAGAAAGACGACGGATGGATTGGGACTGTGGCACTGAGGGATATCATCCGTGGAAATGATCCAGAAGACACGTGGATATTTGGAGATGCCTGAACGCCTGCACCAGTCGACAGGGCACATGATGATTACGAACAAGCTACCACTAGTTTGTGAGGTCCATAGAACACTTGACAAACTATTATTTTCTGCTCTAGTGCCCTATTCTTTGTCCATGTTTGGCACTGATAACATAAAAGTAGGGATAAAGATGCTATTAATCATTTGCTGGATGGGAGACATTTGGGTGTCTAAGTAACTGGTAGATGACATCATTTGTTGGATGGTAGACATCTGGGTGTCTAAGTAGTGGGGCTAACTGGTAGATGACATCATTTGCTGGATGGGAGACATTTGGGTGTCTAAGTAGTGGGGCTAACTGGTAGATGACATCATTTGTTGGATGGGAGACATTTGGGTGTCTAAGTAGTGGGGCTAACTGGTAGATGACATCATTTGCTGGATGGGAGACATTTGGGTGTCTAAGTAGTGGGGCTAACTGGTAGATGACATCATTTGCTGGATGGGAGACATTTGGGTATCTAAGTAACTGGTAGATGACATCATTTGCTGGATGGGAGACATTTGGGTATCTAAGTAACTGGTAGATGACATCATTTGTTGGATGGGAGACATTTGGGTGTCTAAGTAGTGGGGCTAACTGGTAGATGACATCATTTGCTGGATGGGAGACATTTGGGTGTCTAAGTAGTGGGGCTAACTGGTAGATGACATCATTTGTTGGATAGGAGACATTTGGGTGTCTAAGTAGTGGGGCTAACTGGTAGATGAAATCATTTGTTGGATAGGAGACATTTGGGTGTCTAAGTAGTGGGGCTAACTGGTAGATGACATCATTTGCTGGATGGGAGACATTTGGGTGTCTAAGTAGTGGGCTAACTGGTAGATGACATCATTTGCTGGATGGGAGACATTTGGGTGTCTAAGTAACTGGTAGATGACATCATTTGCCTTCTGTACTCTGGCTTCTTGAAAGATCTGAATATCAAGGAAGATTGGCTAATAAACAGTATCCTGCATTGGAAGCTGAAATATTTTGGTCATATCAAGCGCCAGGACGGATTATAAAATATTATAGCAGAAGCCACGGTACCAGGAAGGAGGGTCAGGGGCCGACCGACTCTAGATGGGCACAGGATATAAGTGACTCCTTGAATGTGAAAGTGCATGAGGCGGGAGAGCTGGCAAGAGACTGAGTTTCTGTCAGGCAGACTGTGATGGGCGACATTCTGCAAAAGGACCTGCTACATGATGATGATGATGACTCTGGCTTCTATCTCTTACTATCTGCAGGTCTATCTGCAATGAGGATTATGGCTGCTTCCAATATAGAGCAAAGACTACAAATACTTCTATTCTACGGTCTGGTCCTTTCCCCCATTGAATACGCTCTGGCCATCCTCACTGTCAGTGCTACCCAGATTGAACGACTCGAAAAGGTGCAAAATGAAGCCATGCGCATTATTTTGGGATGTACAAGAGACACATCCTGTGGAGCAATGAGGTATCTACTTGACTTTCCAACAATGAACCAAAGGATCAGGATGTGGAGGGCTCGGGCATATCTCAAAATATGTGCTGATAAGAAACACCTACTGCATCAAGCGCTTTTTAGTGAAAAGGGCGACAGACTGAAGAGGGGGAAATCGTGGCTAGGTTGGGCAGAAGATGTTATTAGGCAAATATGCAGCCTAACCGACATCATACCTGGTGCAGAATGGATACCTGTGCCTTAGGCTTTTATTTGTACATTTTCCTGTATTGTCACACTCAACAGGCTATGTAGAGAAGAGAATCCTGTTGCTGTTAATGCAGAGGTCAACGCTCTCATTGGTGAAAATTCAGACGAAGCAGATGCAATAATCTATACAGACGGATCCGTTATACGCCAAAGAAGAAGCGCATGGGCATTTACAGCATGCTCAGCGGGCAGAACAGTCAAAGAAGCCAACGGCGCCTTCTCCATGACAACCAGCAGCATGACGATGGAGGTGATGGCAGTGACGCAAGCGCTTGCCTGGCTTGAAACTAAAAATACACCCGTGTGTGTATACTCAGTGATTCAATGAGTATGATCCGGAGGGTTCAGGCAGGTTCAGTGCGAAGACAATGGCTTGAATCATTACAGAAGTCCACTGTGCGTGGAGTCACCTTTATTTTTGTTCCGGGATACGCAGGCGTCAATGGAAATGAAAGAGCTGACAGGTTGGCTGGATCCGCTATCACTACCGACGGTCAGCCTATGGATCATGCTGATATTATCAATGCCCTCAGAGAAATGGGAAGGATAGAGGACTTT